CGCACAAACAGGACCCTCCTCCCTCTCTCCCGCTGCCCCCGCCCGGGGCACCCCGAGGGGCAGCCTCACCGCTCGGTAGGTTTTCTTCTGCCCGGCATGTTTGGGTGCTTTGCCCGGCTCCGACGAGCTCTCCACATGCATCGAGTAGATGATGTCAAAGAAATCTTCCACCACAGCCACGCGTTTCAGAGAGATGCCCTCGGGCTCCGACAGTCCATCTGCCCCCTACAACAGTGCAGGCAAGTTGAGTTAGTGTCAGGGATGGGTGACAGGGGTGACGAGATTGGCCCGGGGCTAATGCAGTTGGAGGGGGCAGAGTCACGGTGCTCCAGCCCCGGGCTGCCTTGGGCACGGGGGATGTGGGGGATAAATTAAGCAGTGCTCCAGGGAGGATCCTGCTGTAGCCAGGGCAGTGGGGGCTGCTGCTGCTGTGCTGCTAAAGCTGCCAGTGAAACTGGGCCATGGACAAAAAAACAAGGAAAGAGTCCAGAGTGGAGTCACAACCAATCGAGAAATTCAATTTTCATAATTTGGGATGATCTGGCTGGGTGGGGAAGAGGCAAAGGAGGCTCTCTGGACCTGCACATGGTACTAAACCTTCCTGGGAAGCCCTACAACATGGGGCACTGTCACTGACTGCAGTCCCCACGGACACAGACCAGCTGGCAGGACAAGGTTTCACTGTGATGCCAGGATACGGCCCCTAAAGGAAGGAGACAGAATTGCCCTCCTTCCCGCACTGACCTTTCCGAGACACCCTCCCTCTCCCGCACAGGCAGAGCAGCTGAGCGCTGGCAGCCGCAGCACAGCTCTTTGTGTGCTCGGGTGTGCTGGAGAGCAGGAGGCAGCCGTTCTGCCACGCAGCAGTGGGGACAGGCTGGCAGGAGTGGGAAGTGTGGGGAGCTGTGCTCCTCTGAGCCTGCTGGCACCGCCCGTGTCAGGCCCTGCGGGTGGGATGTGCTGCGGGAAGGGCCCGTCGGGACCCGCAGCTGCCGGCGGAGTCCGGCACAAAGCACCCGAGCACGGAGTGTGCATGGAGATGGCTGGTGGCTGCTCTCGTGGCTGGGGTACCTAAAAAGGGCCAGGCTCCAGGAGGTCACTCAGCTTCTTCCTTGAAAAAATGCCATTATTGCATAGACAGCTCCTTTTCTACATAAATACAGATACTATATATATATCTCCATACATATACCCCACCGTATGTCCCTCCCAGGCCTGCCTTCCCAAAAGGTATGCCTGGATGCAGTGGTTCACACCAGGCTGGTGAGCCACGACCTGCACACCTACATGACTTGCAAACTCTCTTTTTCAGGTGCACTCAGGGACCCGTGGGCGCAGGCAGAGGCGGGCAGAGCTCTGTGTGGCAGGGGAACACCCCATCTCCCAGCCTTCACTCACTGGTGGCTGGGAGATCTGTATGGTCTATAGATTGAATAAATGCTGCTCTAAAGCCACCAGTCAAGGGACTCTCAAAAATCAATCATTTAGAGGGACTGCCTTCTGCTGAAGACTGGGGAAACAGTCTTCTAATGTAAAGTGCTGCCTATTAAAGTTGGCTCCTCACCCCAATTTCAGAACAGAGACTGCAGTGGGGTGGGTTGCTGTGCTCCCCCGGGACACGGGCACGAGGATTTTCCAACACAACCCACCTCTGTCTCCCCCGGGGAGCTGGGAGCTGTATATAAAGGTGGCTGTAACAAAGGGAATATTGAGAACGAACACAAGGGGCAGGGTGGCAGGGCTGCTGTGGTGGGGGTCGGGAAACTTTGCCCGAGGGAGCGGCTTTGAGGAATACAGAGCTAATTTCTTCTGGCACCGTTCAGGGAGTTTCACTTCAATCGAGGACATGGGTATTCCCCTGCCAAGGAGAAGCGGGCATTAGGAGGCTTCCTACTGACCAATAATCCTCCGAGCAGGGTTGAAATGAGGATAATTACAGAAACAGGACAAAGGAAAATGCATGAGGAGAAAAGCACAGTCAGATGCGACAAGCAGAGCCCTCAAAATTAAGGTTGTAACCAACCCCCTACACAAATCACTATTTCCAGGGCCATCCCAACCATCTAATATCCTCCTCCTTGCACAGCCAGTGGTTCCCCCTTTCCTCCTCACTTTCAGAATGAATGCAGTTAAGGTAACCTCAGGGTCTGGGCACTGCTACAGCCTCTGCTCATCCAGCACTGCCTGCCTCCCCACCCAGCCGCATGCCGGATGCTGGAGCTGCCTCCTTGACATCCCATTCCCTGCAGCTGCCCTCCCCTGACTCCTCACAGCTCTCCACTCCCTCATCAGCCTTGTGACTGCTCTCCCCGTGATGATTGTCTAGCTCTGGGAAGCAGGTGAGATGCAAGCGATATCAAAGCCACTGGATGTAAGAAGCTGTATCAATCCCAGTGCTTCTAGGATTACAGAGGTTTGTAACTGGCAATATAACCAAATGTTGACCTAGGATTTAAGAGGACACACGTGCTATAGGCTACCTTGCAGCGGGGTCTGTGCCCCTCTGGTTCCTCCTTCCACACCCAGTATTGCTCACGAGTATTCAAGGCATGAGTCAGAGCCTGTAAGATCTCAGAACAGCTTAAAACCCCTTAGCTTTAAAAAGCAATAAAAATTAGGTTGGGAAGAAGGATGGGAATAAGGGATGCTTTCACCTCCTCTTGATGTTGGGGCTTTATTGGAAGTTGCCTGCCCCAAAAAAGGGTAAAAGATTTCAGGAGCAAAGCTCAGTCTTGACAGAAGCACCTGGGAACAGGCAGCATTTCAGGTGCTGAAGAAGTCCCTTTGCCACCTAACAGGCATCCTCCTTTTCCCTCCATTTGCCCGGCATTAGTTTCTCTCTCCCCCTTCATGATTTCTGGTCTCCCACCATCCCTGTGTACCTCATCCCACAGGTCTCACCCCCATTCTCCCACCTCCTCTCCACTTTCCCAGTACTGTTGGCTCCTCTCTCTCCTCTCACCTCCTCTGCTCCAGGTTCCCCATCAGCTCTTTCCTCCCCAGTGTCCTTTGTTTTCCACGTCTCCTCCAGTCCCACGTTTCTTCGCTTGCCTCCTCCTCACGAGCCCCCAGAGCCCCACGTCTCCC